AAGGCCTCCAAGAAGACCGATAAGGCACAACCGCCCTCTGTCAATCCAACTTCTGTCGAATTTCCAAAGCCGACAGCCAAGACGGAGACAATTGGGCAGTCGCCAGTGGATGAGCAGAAGGTAGCGAACGCGAAGCAGGTGCCTGCGTCTGCTGGGCATACCTCTGCAGTGGTTGCTACCCCGAGTGCCAAATCTCGGCCACAGCCCACGGCTGTCAAGAGAATGAGGTCCTCGGAGGAGCAACAATCTGCTGCAAAGAGACCCACGCAGTCGTCGGCCGAGCTGACCCCGACGGGTTTATCAGTGAGGATAGATGGGAGCTGGTCGACAGTCATCTGTAGGACCTCTTCCTATCCGACGAGGTTGATCGAAAGAGCCTGCGGTTTGGCCTGACATCCTCATACAAAGGGGTAAAGGTTGTTGACTGTAGCACTAAGGAGACTTCAGATTTCCTTAAGAAGACAATCAACAGCCTGGACCCTCTTTGGGAAGGTAGTCGTCTGGCAGCTGTAGCGGTCCGAGAGATACCGAGCGGTATGGTAACCTCTGTGCTCATCCCAAAACCTTTCAAGGGGCTGGAGAAGACACTGAGGTTATTAGAGAAGCAGAACGACGGCCTTCAGATGAAGAGGTGGAGAATCTTCGCCTCATTTTAAAGGAACGGCGGTGTAGTCGCGAAGTTCGCTACCGATTAATGCTTCTTTCTAATTTAATGCTTCTTTTCAGCAATGGATATATGACGACAGCAAGACTAGGCCGAGGTACATCGAAACCCCTGATAGTCTCTGCCGTCTATCTTCCCTATGAGGCTCCTGACCCGCCCGGTACTGTGGTATGCCGCCTACTGGAGGAGATGGGCAGAGTTGGTGATATCATCATCGGATGTGACAAAACTCAGTACAGATTGGGATGTTTATAAAAGACAATTCAATAGGTACAAGGGCAAAATCACGAAAGCTACGGATCCAAAATCCATAGGGAGTATTATGCGAAGTGATGGTACGTGGACATTGAGAGGGACTTCTTGATTGATAGGATCCCCCGACCCAGTACTAGGACCACAGCGGTAGTCCCTTCAAAGAAGGAGAAACCTACTGATGGCCCTGGTACATCCAGGAAACTGAGACTCTTGGTAGTGAGACTCTTGATCTTCTATCATCAACCCACTTTCCTGGTTGCAAGGACTATAGGATGCGCAGTGTGTGCATCAGCCTACAGTTCGGACGAGGGAAGAGGAGAAGTTGATAGAAGATACAATAAGATACACAAAACTGATATGGGCGATAAACAGTTTTCAACCCTATAAATCTCCTGGCCCAGATGGTATAATACCGGCCATGCGCCAACACGCAGATGAACGTATAATATCATTTCTGCAGGACATTTTTAGAGCTTGTTAACTTCTGTCGTACATACCAAGTCTATGGAAAGAGGTTACCGAGACCCTCATACCGAAAGCCGGGTCATACGTTACCTAACGACTATAGGCCGATTAGCCTTTCTTCCTTTCTATTCAAGACTTTAGGAAGGTTACTAGACTCAGAAATTAGAAATACCATTGACCATAGTAAACTTAGTAAATCCCAGCATGCCTACATCAAAGGCAGATCAGTGGATACACCCTCTGCATGAGGTGGTTGGATGCAACGAGAAGAATATGGAGTCCTCTGGCTACACTTTGGCAACATTCCTCGATATCGAAGGAGCTTTCAACAATGTGAAGCTAGAGACCATCCATTCTGCTCTCGTAGGCATACGTATCCCCTCACTCCTTACAGAATGGATTGATAGAATGCAGGAAAGCAGAATTATCAACTCATTCTTAGGAGAGAGTTCCGTGAGGAAATCTGTCAACATAGGCACACCTCAGGGAGGAGTACTTTCTCCCCTTTTGTGGCTTCTGGTGATAAATGAGATACTTATGAAATTCAATCATCTCAGGAAAAAGGCGGTAGCCTATGCCGATGATGTAGTCTTGCTGGCACTCTATTCATGCAAGAATTCCATAGGGGGAATAGTCATATCAGTGATTATATTGTAAGATTGTAAGTCCGCTTTGAATGATATACGACAGATAGTTGGTTTATGTTGGGTACCAGGACATAGTGAAATTGAAGGGAATGAGATAGCCGACGAGCTTGTTCGAGGGGGCTCACAGTCGTCCAATCTTCTGATTGAGAGATCTGTGAAACCTCCCATCAGCTATTTCATTGGCAGAATCCGTGCGTTCCATTGCGAGGTAGTTGGTAACAGATGGCTAAGGGAACCTGCTTGCAGAATCTCAAAATCTGTCTGGCCTGAATTCTCTCGTAAAAGAACGTCTTCGCTGGTGGAACACAGTAAGAGGGAGATCAAAATCGTTGTGGGAATTATAACTGGTCACTGCAAAATTAGATCTCTCACTTCTAAGTGGGACACCAGTGGAGAGGATTAATGTCGTCTATGTGAGGACGAAGAAGAACTGCAAATGTCCATCGCTGATCAGCAGAAGACATAAACAGTTTGGAAGTTATGAAATTGATAATCTAGTCTTCTTCTCCAAAATAGACCCTAACCAAATTCTAGGCTTTGTCAAAAAATTGACTTGGCTAAAATAATCTCTCTTCCGCCCCCTTCTTTCTCATTATTTTTTCTCCCACTCTTCCACTATCTCTTTTCTTTTTCTTTATAGGTACACATATATATATAAAGGACGATCACAATTGACATAGTTCCCCAGTGGACGGTTGTTACAACAACCTATCATTCTGTCATATGTTTCCATTTTTTCATAAATTTTTAATTTGTCTGAAACTTAATACTCGGAGGTTTTTGGCTGAGCACCGAGCACAGAAGAATACAAAAGAAAACAGAGTGCTCCGATAAATTGTAAGTATAAAAATCAAGGCCTATATAAGGTCGGACAGTAAGCGAATTCAAAGAGAAAACTTAAGTTTAACGTCATTTTTTTTGCCCAGGAGAAAACTAATTGTTTGGCCTTTAAATAAAAAACACATCCAATACACAACACAATTTATAATTTGTAGGATAATTTGAAATAGTCCAAATGTGCTTCACAAAGACGATGTAAATTTAAATATAATTGAATGTTTACAAAATATTAACATTTTCGTTTTGTATATACATAACATAATTTTGTATGTATGTTTATGTTTCAAAATATGATTTGACAGCAAACTTTATACTCACCTGTGCTTACTGGCTGACTTGATAAAAATAATAAATTTTATTAAAATTTCGTCCGCCATATTGAATTTTGGAAAACTTAACGCTTGAGCGACAAGTTTCAAGCGAATCTGATATTTTATAAAAATGTTGGTCACTTGGTTCTAAAAACTTCAAATGCGTTTTTCTCGAATGTGGTGGTGGTGTAAAGCGAATACAGTAGAGGTGGCAGCACTAAACCCTGAGGGACATCAGCTGGAACATTGCCTGAAGAAGATTTGCTTTCTTGAACATCGACAACAAACATTCTTTCATTGAGAAAACGTCGAAGGCTTTTCCCAATTCAACGAAAGTTATACCAGTAGAAAACCGCCGGTTTTTATTCGATGTTCAAATATTGAATAATCTCTTCATTTGGTGAATGGTTGAAAGTTGAGGTCATGTCATAATTATACAAGGTAGTATCATTCTGTTGACGACCCAAGCCATCCCCCTGGACCTCTCTTTAGCCAATTTTCCTTCTCTCGACGATGTTAATGTAAGCCTGGAGAGGCAGTCGGATCTTCTCCTCAATCTTCTAGAGGAAACCGGCTCCTTCCGCCTTAGTCAGGAGAGCATCCCAAATCAGCTCTGGGATGACTCACCCTTGTCGGACGAGGATGACATAAACACAGTAGCAACCATGGTGTCTCCTCTAAAGCAAGGAGGGTCCTCCCAGTAGCTGACTAGGGAAGTAAACCCAGGCAAGGTTGAGAATCTCGACTCGATCTCCACGGCCTGCAGTGATGTCGCGAGACTACTCAGGAAGTTGGCTGTCGAAACAGATGCTGGCAATGATGAGAACCCCATCGTTAAGATGGATGACACATCAGTACCATTATCTGCTAGATAAGCCGATGCCAAGGAGATCGCTGCCAAGAAAATGTATCGGAGAGCAGTAAATTACTGTAAACGATACATCGGACGGGACAGCAACTCCATCACGGGGAAGGAGTTCCTGTTAATCAAGAGGAACCTCAAACTCATTAGGAAGTTCTCTATGAACTATCCTGATGACATTAAGAGGGACTTCTTGATTGATAGGATCCCCCGACCCAGTACTAGGACCACAGCGGTAGTCCCTTCAAAGAAGGAGAAACCTACTGATGGCCCTGGTACATCCAGGAAACTGATGCCTGAGACGTCTAAGCCCTCAGCACCCCCAAGGGTAAACTGAGTACTGAGACGTCCCAGACAGCAGCATCCACAAAGACAGAAGGCAGGGGACTGTCGAAGTCGGCCCGAAGGAGAGCCCGTAAAAAGGCCTCCAAGAAGACCGATAAGGCACAACCGCCCTCTGTCAATCCAACTTCTGTCGAATTTCCAAAGCCGACAGCCAAGACGGAGACAATTGGGCAGTCGCCAGTGGATGAGCAGAAGGTAGCGAACGCGAAGCAGGTGCCTGCGTCTGCTGGGCATACCTCTGCAGTGGTTGCTACCCCGAGTGCCAAATCTCGGCCACAGCCCACGGCTGTCAAGAGAATGAGGTCCTCGGAGGAGCAACAATCTGCTGCAAAGAGACCCACGCAGTCGTCGGCCGAGCTGACCCCGACGGGTTTATCAGTGAGGATAGATGGGAGCTGGTCGACAGTCATCTGTAGGACCTCTTCCTATCCGACGAGGTTGATCGAAAGAGCCTGCGGTTTGGCCTGACATCCTCATACAAAGGGGTAAAGGTTGTTGACTGTAGCACTAAGGAGACTTCAGATTTCCTTAAGAAGACAATCAACAGCCTGGACCCTCTTTGGGAAGGTAGTCGTCTGGCAGCTGTAGCGGTCCGAGAGATACCGAGCGGTATGGTAACCTCTGTGCTCATCCCAAAACCTTTCAAGGGGCTGGAGAAGACACAGGTTATTAGAGAAGCAGAACGACGGCCTTCAGATGAAGAGGTGGAGAATCTTCGCCTCATTTTAAAGGAACGGCGGTGTAGTCGCGAAGTTCGCTACCGATTAATGCTTCTTTCTAATTTAATGCTTCTTTTCAGCAATGGATATATGACGACAGCAAGACTAGGCAGAGGTACATCGAAACCCCTGATAGTCTCTGCCGTCTATCTTCCCTATGAGGCTCCTGACCCGCCCGGTACTGTGGTATGCCGCCTACTGGAGGAGATGGGCAGAGTTGGTGATATCATCATCGGATGTGACAAAACTCAGTACAGATTGGGATGTTTATAAAAGACAATTCAATAGGTACAAGGGCAAAATCAAGAAAGCTACGGATCCAAAATCCATAGGGAGTATTATGCGAAGTGATGGTACGTGGACATTGAGAGGGACTTCTTGATTGATAGGATCCCCCGACCCAGTACTAGGACCACAGCGGTAGTCCCTTCAAAGAAGGAGAAACCTACTGATGGCCCTGGTACATCCAGGAAACTGAGACTCTTGGTAGTGAGACTCTTGATCTTCTATCATCAACCCACTTTCCTGGTTGCAAGGACTATAGGATGCGCAGTGTGTGCATCAGCCTACAGTTCGGACGAGGGAAGAGGAGAAGTTGATAGAAGATACAATAAGATACACAAAACTGATATGGGCGATAAACAGTTTTCAACCCTATAAATCTCCTGGCCCAGATGGTATAATACCGGCCATGCGGCAACACGCAGATGAACGTATAATATCATTTCTGCAGGACATTTTTAGAGCTTGTTAACTTCTGTCGTACATACCAAGTCTATGGAAAGAGGTTACCGAGACCCTCATACCGAAAGCCGGGTCATACGTTACCTAACGACTATAGACCGATTAGCCTTTCTTCCTTTCTATTCAAGACTTTAGAAAGGTTACTAGACTCAGAAATTAGAAATACCATTGACCATAGTAAACTTAGTAAATCCCAGCATGCCTACATCAAAGGCAGATCAGTGGATACACCCTCTGCATGAGGTGGTTGGATGCAACGAGAAGAATATGGAGTCCTCTGGCTACACTTTGGCAACATTCCTCGATATCGAAGGAGCTTTCAACAATGTGAAGCTAGAGACCATCCATTCTGCTCTCGTAGGCATACGTATCCCCTCACTCCTTACAGAATGGATTGATAGAATGCAGGAAAGCAGAATTATCAACTCATTCTTAGGAGAGAGTTCCGTGAGGAAATCTGTCAACATAGGCACACCTCAGGGAGGAGTACTTTCTCCCCTTTTGTGGCTTCTGGTGATAAATGAGATACTTATGAAATTCAATCATCTCAGGAAAAAGGCGGTAGCCTATGCCGATGATGTAGTCTTGCTGGCACTCTATTCATGCAAGAATTCCATAGGGGGAATAGTCATATCAGTGATTATATTGTAAGATTGTAAGTCCGCTTTGAATGATATACGACAGATAGTTGGTTTATGTTGGGTACCAGGACATAGTGAAATTGAAGGGAATGAGATAGCCGACGAGCTTGTTCGAGGGGGCTCACAGTCGTCCAATCTTCTGATTGAGAGATCTGTGAAACCTCCCATCAGCTATTTCATTGGCAGAATCCGTGCGTTCCATTGCGAGGTAGTTGGTAACAGATGGCTAAGGGAACCTGCTTGCAGAATCTCAAAATCTGTCTGGCCTGAATTCTCTCGTAAAAGAACGTCTTCGCTGGTGGAACACAGTAAGAGGGAGATCAAAATCGTTGTGGGAATTATAACTGGTCACTGCAAAATTAGATCTCTCACTTCTAAGTGGGACACCAGTGGAGAGGATTAATGTCGTCTATGTGAGGACGAAGAAGAACTGCAAATGTCCATCGCTGATCAGCAGAAGACATAAACAGTTTGGAAGTTATGAAATTGATAATCTAGTCTTCTTCTCCAAAATAGACCCTAACCAAATTCTAGGCTTTGTCAAAAAATTGACTTGGCTAAAATAATCTCTCTTCCGCCCCCTTCTTTCTCATTATTTTTTCTCCCACTCTTCCACTATCTCTTTTCTTTTTCTTTATAGGTACACATATATATATAAAGGACGATCACAATTGACATAGTTCCCCAGTGGACGGTTGTTACAACAACCTATCATTCTGTCATATGTTTCCATTTTTTCATAAATTTTTAATTTGTCTGAAACTTAATACTCGGAGGTTTTTGGCTGAGCACCGAGCACAGAAGAATACAAAAGAAAACAGAGTGCTCCGATAAATTGTAAGTATAAAAATCAAGGCCTATATAAGGTCGGACAGTAAGCGAATTCAAAGAGAAAACTTAAGTTTAACGTCATTTTTTTTGCCCAGGAGAAAACTAATTGTTTGGCCTTTAAATAAAAAACACATCCAAAACACAACATAATTTATAATTTTTAGGATAATTTGAAATAGTCCAAATGTGCTTCACAAAGACGATGTAAATTTAAATATAATTGAATGTTTACAAAATATTAACATTTTCGTTTTGAATATACATAACATAATTTTGTATGTATGTTTATGTTTCAAAATATGATTTGACAGCAAACTTTATACTCACCTGTGCTTACTGGCTGACTTGATAAAAATAATAAATTTTATTAAAATTTCGTCCGCCATATTGAATTTTGGAAAACTTAACGCTTGAGCGACAAGTTTCAAGCGAATCTGATATTTTATAAAAATGTTGGTCACTTGGTTCTAAAAACTTCAAATGCGTTTTTCTCGAATGTGGTGGTGGACAAGATTTCTCAAAAACTACTGAACCAATCAGCTTCAAATTTGTAGAGCCTATTTTGCACATAAATGACTAGTTCGTGAACGAAGGACTTTTTATTTCAATAAAAACTTTTATTTCTACTAAATAAAATCCTGAATTATTTGCTTACAAAATCATATTTTTCAAAAAAAAAAAAAAAAATGCAGCCATTTGTCAAAAACTGAAAATTTTTAAAATCTTTCGTTTACAAACTGTGTATAGCATCGCACTATCAGAAGAGTTTGGGATTTTTGATTTTAGTCCAGAATTTTGAAATACTTGTTGATTGTTTAATTATTTTTAAACATTTAATTATATGCAATGTAACAACATTTTGTTAATTTGTAACGGATTAAAGAAATAAAGAATTTGATTCTTTATTTCGTTTAAAAATAACATAGACTGAGCATTGCTATTTGATGAAGTGTCTGTTTCCAAGAGACGATAAATATGATTGACCTTGTTATCAATGGATGTTGATGAATTTGGCGTAATTAAATGCGCTTTCGCATTAGTCGGCGATTAAATTGGCCTTTTCTTAATAATAATAAACTTCTTTGCCATTTACCACTACATTTTTCATTGAGTTATTTATTACACTGATTTTTTTTTTTTTTTTTTTTTTTGTAATTTTCCAAAATTGTTTGCTGCTTGTTGGAAAAGAAGACAGAAACATTTCTCCATTGTGCGTTTCTATCATTGTTTATATTGATGAAAATGAATTTATTTAGCTCCCTAACGATAGCACACATGGCATAATTTTACAAGGTAGTCCCATGCAGTCATATGTTTCCATTTTTTTTTTCATAAAATTGCATTTATTCAGCTTTAAAAATTGAAATGAAAATATATTCTTTCGAAATGTACGCATATCATTTGTTCAGTGGCAAAAAATTGCTAAATAATTTATATTTATAAAAACTTATAAATATAAGATGATTAAATCTTGAGAGCAATGTTCAGCTTTAAAAAATGTATTTTGTTTACCTTATTGAAAATATGCCAATCGACATACATAAAATTTTGTGGCATTTATTTTTTATATTATTTATAATTGATAGATGAATTCCAAATTAATAAGAGTTACTATGATCAAATTCTAACATGAGACTACATTCTGTAATTGTGCCATGGATAGCACATTGGAATCATCTTTTATATGTATTTGTTTCTTGTGGTTTTAGAGAGGCCTGCCTGTGTGTGTGATTTTTAGAAAATCCTGTGTGGTTAGGTGGATAATATTTATAGCAATTATAATTATTCTGATGATTAAACAAGGCGTAATGCAGTTCCAACTGGCGAGGTGACCAGTTGGAGTCGCCAATTGATGTTGTTATTATATCAAGATCAGGAAGCTAATATGAATTTTGTTATGAACATTTAATTGTTCAATTTTTGTTCTGCAATTAGGTCGGTCAGATATCGTTTTTGAAAAAATGTGGTATAATTCATCGATGTTAAAAAGTTTGGCTGTTGATGAGCTATTTTGAGTGCATAATTCAATTACTCTTGCGTACGTGTTTTCCGGTCTGAGTGGATCGGAATTGTTTGAGGTAAAATATGATTTTTTACCTGTGGAAATTCATTAGCTGTTATATCGAAGGTTAACGGAACAGGGTGTCTTCTTACAGAATATCTCCTTGTTAAGTTTTCCCAGATTGCTAAGTATTCTTTTCGGCAAGGACATCGTGGATCGTCAGCCCGATGGTTGTTGTTTTTCAATTTTTTTTGTGTTTTATTTACTTGGCACATTGATAAGTCGTGGTTATCAATGTTATCAATGTGAAATGATTGAAGTATCTTAAAACGGTTTTCACTAGTTTTATAATTTCTTTTGGCGGCCTTCCTGACAATTTTTTTTCTCTTGAGTGAGTGCATTTCAATGTACCACGAGTAGTTGTTATTGTTTATTACAATTTGAGTTGAACACAAAACGTGTTACAGTAGATATCGGATATAAGAAACTCAAAAAAGCCCTCGATTTCTTTCTTATATGCGTTTTTTTTCTTATATGGAATTATCGGATATAAGGAAGTTGTTTCTTATATGCGTACATACGCATATAAGTTTTCAGAGGATAGAATACCTCCTCGCATATTAAATGCGCCCATGTTTCGAACTCGTCCTCATGAAAAGGTCCTACTTTTTTATAGTGGTCCACATTACCCGACGTTGAATATTCTTATTCTTATTTAAAAAAATTATCGGCTTAAAAACGTATAAAATTAAAAATAACCGATTGTAATTGCAGCTAAACGTTTATTTTTGTTAAAGAAAACAATAAAACCACATAACTTCTTTATATTCGAGGAAAACAAAGTGTTCGACTATTGTGGTAAAAGATTTTAAAATCACACTTACAATCAGAGCTACATTTTCTACTACTACATTTTCAACATTGCAATTATTTATCAAAAACCAAGTTTGATGTTTGTTTTCACGAATTAGGAAAACATTTATCAAGGCGGCATTGAC